TCTTCCTGTTGCGGATGCTTCAGATGTGTCGCCAGCTGATTCGCACTATAGGATAGGTCGGGTCGGCAGGTTACTGCTGCGAATAGTAGGCAGCCGAGCTTCTGTTGATACTCCTGGATTTGTTTCGCGGGGAGTTTTGTAGAGGCGCTGCCGTTGTTCCCGTAGCGGTAGGGAGTTGGGACCGCAGTCGGTGTTAGAGCGAATTTCTTCGCGACGGTGCTTGAGTACTTTCCAGCGTGTAGGTAGAACGCCGTGTCGTCTTCGACGACGTTCAGTCCTAGGTACTGCGTAACTTCGTCGGACACCGTGAGAGTTAAATCTTCTTTCAGCTCCCCTTCGAACCAGGTGGCGATGTCGGTAGTTGAGCCGATGTAGAGCAGGTCGTCGACGTAGACGATGAGCAGAACATACTCTCTTCCCTTCTGCAGTCGGTACATCCCTTGGTCATGCGGCAGCTGTAGGAAGCCGATTTTTACGAGACGGCTGTGAAGATGCTGCTGCCAGAGCCGCGGGGCTTGCTTGATCCCGTATAGGGATTTTGTCAGTCGGCATATTTTCGTGGGGTCGTCGATGAATCCGTGGGGTTGTTCGACGAAGATCTCAGCGTCCACAGGTGCGTATAGGAACGCATTCGCGACATCGATTTGGCGTAGTGGTAGTGTTTTTGTGGCCGCGACGGCGAGTAGGATGCGTAATGAGGTGTGACGGGAGACTGGGGCGAAGGTTTCTGTGTAGTCGGTTCCGTATCGTTGATCGAAGCCTCGTACGACCCATCGAGCTTTGAATCGTTCGATGGAGCCGTCTGAGTTGGTCTTGATGCGGTACACCCATTTCCCCGAGAGAACGTTCTTCCCGTTGATGCTCGTTGCAGGTACCAGTTTCCATGTTTCTCGGTCTTGCAGAGCTTTTAACTCCTTTTCCATCGCTTCTTTCCATTTTGCCTTATGTTCCCCCCCCAGAGCCTGCGACAAGGTTGAAGGCTCACGCGTAGAAGGCGGCGGCGGATGCTGGACGGAGACCCAGAGGCCTAGAATCTGGAGTCCCGTGGGTGTGTGTCGAGGGGAATTGTCATTCCCCGAATAAGCTGCTTCGTCACCGTCTTCGGGGTCAGGTAAGAAATTGGGGCCGATGCGTTCCGAAATATTCGTGTCGACGGGGTGCGGTGTAGCGTAACCTTGGTCGGCGAAGTGGTAAAAGGTGTCGAGGTTGTTGCTATCGAGGGGATTATCTTCATCGAGTGGAACAGGTATGGAACAGAATGGGAGTGGCCCGGCAGCTTCCGAGGCTCCAGGTACGTCTTCTTCTGCTGCGTCAGCCTCGGCAGCATGGTCAGCGAAGGAGCGAAGGCCCGCGAAGCCGTCGGTGGGGTCGTCTGAGTTGGCAATGTTGTCCAGGTAATGCTGCAGCGTCAGTCGCTCGTAGAAGATAACATCACGTGAGGCCACCGTATTTTTGTCTTGTATGTCGAGGATCTTCCACGCGTGAAAATGTTTGGCGATGCCGAGGTGTAGTCCCCACCGAGCTCGTTGAGTGAAGCGTCCTGCTCGAGCTGTGTGGGGTCTGTATTGTACCATGCAGCCGAAAACTCGAAGTAATTTTGTGCTGCCCCTTTTTCCCGTCCACAGCAGGTGTGGTGATGCGTTGTTGGGGAGCGATGACGAGGACAACAGGTTGTGCAGGTGGACTGCATGTGTCATCGCGTCTGGCCACAGTGCGTTGGGCAGCCTCATCCCCAGAAGCAGTTTTCGCATCGTCGTCTGCAAGGTCCGGTTCATGCGTTCTGCTACCCCCTGCTGCTGGTGAGCATAGGGCAGAGACACCAGGCGTCGGATTCCCCTTTCCGCGAGATAGGTCCTGAAGCGTTGTGACTGGTATTCCAGTGCACCGTCTGACTGGAAACTCTTGAGTTTGGTTCCTGACTCTCGTTCGGCGATTGGAAGCCATGTGGTGAATGCCTCGAAGGCTTGATCGCGCGTTTTGAGATTGAAGTGCCAGACGTATCTGGTTGCGGCGTCGATGAACGTGATGACGTAGTTGAAGTCGGCTTCGGTGTCGTCTCGAGGCATGTTTAGAATATCGCTGTAGACCTTTTCCATCGGAGCGTAAGTGGGTGCGCTTGGATTGTGATGGGCTGGGAAAGGTTGATGAGGAAGATCTGCTTCGGGGCATGTGAAACACCGTGCGCGTGGTCGTCGGAGTTCCTGGCCGCTCGTCGTCAGAAGGGCGTTGCGTTCTAACACTTCTGCTTGGATTGTTTGAAGTATCGTGCTGTTTGCAGGATGTCCGAGACGTTGGTGCCAGATGTCGTCGGGAGCGCGGTGACCGGGCGAGCGGTGGTAGATGTCGGCGTTGGAGAAGAACGCGACGACCGAGGCGGGACTTCGACAAGCTTCTCGTGTGGCGGGCATAAGTTGGTCTGCTTCGGTTGGCTGTCCTCGTGTCGCTGGTGGTGGTACTCGGCTGGGTCCTGCTGCCGATACTGCAGGTGATGGTTTTGTTGGGACACATGCGGGTACTTGTCTTTCTTGTCTGATAACTGCTAATGCTCGTGTTCTTTCTGCTGCAGGTATGGTGTTGGAGTGCCAGAAGCCGTCGCTGTCGAAGTCGGGATCAAGATCTGGCGGATGAGTCCAGGCGGCGAAGGATACGATACCGTCGCTGTCGGCAGTTCCGCGGTCGGGGACGAAGTCCAACACGAAGACACCGGACTTCAGGAGGGCACGACCGATGAAGAGACCGCCCTTCCCGTGGTAAAGTCGGAACTCGTTGGAGAAGGAGTCGCACTCCAGGTGAATCCCCTTAGCCATTAGTTGGCTTACGCTTAATAGGTTGTATCCCAGATTGTCGACGATGAGGACCTTGTTGAGCTGAAGAATAACGTTTGTCTCCATTGATTGTAACTGAACCACGCCTTGTCTATTTGTTTTCAGGTTTTCGTTGTTGGCGACGGTGATGACGACGTCACGGTTGAGGCGTCGCTCGTGTTGTACGAAGCGTCCGGAGGAGCACATGTGCTGACCGCAGCAACTGTCCAAGAACCAGGTGTTCCGCCCGGTGGGTTCGGCGTTAGCGACTGCAGCGTATGTCGGGTTGACCTGAAGTCCTTGCGAGCGCGGCGGCGGGAATTCCTCTTCGTCTGGTGCGTAAGTGGGTGGTGAAGCGGGTGCGCAGTTGTCGATGTGTACCATGCAGTTGATGATGTTGGGTGTTTGTTGTGCAGATGTTGAAGAGCGCCTTGGAGGACTTGCTTGAGTGGAAGCGACTTGTGGGTCTGCTGCACGGTAAACGCGAGGGCGGTTGCAGTTGACCTTGGAGTGCCCGGAAGTCTGACAGTTGTGGCAGAACGGCGGCACGATGGTGAGTCCTCGGTTGTCACGTTGATCTTGCTTGCTGCGTCGGTTGTAGTTGTTGTCATTTCTTCTTTGAGTGTAGAAGACTAACTGCTGTTGCTTCCTTGGTTGTCTTTCCTCGAACAGATCCATCTCCTGTTGTTCAGCGTGAAGCTCGGCGCAGAGGTGCATCTCCGAAATTCTTCCGTGGGCTCGAAGAAGTGATCGTGTGGTTCTCCATTCTGGCCCGAGCCCGGCGAGGACAAGTGTCACGAAGCTTTCTTCAGTGATCGTTCCTCCGCACCGAAGCAGGCGGTCGCGGAGGGTCTGGCAGCGACTCATATACTGCAACGCCTTTTCCCCGGTCTTCATCTGTATTGTTGTCAGCTGTTGCATGAGTCTGCTTTGTGTCACGCTGTCGTTTGCTTGGTAAAGGCATTTGAGGTGGTGCCATGCGAGCTCCGCGGAGTTTCCATAACTCCGATACGTTCTGATGCTCTGCTGCTCTTGTGGTGACAGGTTTCTCAGGAGTACCGTGTACGCCAGCAGCGACTGATACGTGAAGATCTCTTGTTCCTTCCCAGTGCCGTTGCTTGGGAATGGCAGGGACCCGTTGAAGTATCCCAGAAGATGCGCGGCCTCCATCAGCAGCTCGAACTCGAAGCTCCAGGTAAAGAAGTCGTGTCCGTTGAACGGTGAGGATGTCTGAAGTTTGATCACGTGTGAGAACTGCGCCTGTAAACTTAAGATTTCATTCGGTGTTTGTTGTGAAGCAGCTGTTGTTGGCTGGGCACGGGGCGGCATGAATTCGAACGTCCCCGGCGAAGAATGATAAGGCGCAAAGGTAGGCGCTTGATTGTGTCGCCCGAAGGATGAGTTGTCGAGGCTCATCGGCGCTAATCCCATATTCCCTCCATTGCTCTGTGTTGAGTGCGCAGGTGTCCTTGTCTGCTGCTGCTGATCGAAGTGTGACATGAAGCTGAAGAATCTCTCCATGAGATTCGGGTCCACACTTGAAGAGGGAGACGGGGTCACCATCTCTGGTACTCTTCCCGTTGTTTCTTGAGCAGTCCCGGTCTCTGTCTGCAGTCCTGAGGTGTGCAGACCAGAGTTGCCGTGTTGAGTTTCTTGGGCGCTGGGTGAGCCCGTAGAGACTTTCTTGCCCTTGTTGTCCATGTCTTGTAATCAATGAAGTCGTTGAATTGAGTTGAGTTGCAGGTTGTTGATAGGACGTAGTTGCTGGGAGTTTGGTCTCTGACCAGCTCTCATACCATGTTGGGCTGAGAAAAACCCTTAGGATCTTTTGCAGAGACTAAGTCCCAGCTGTAGAGACTTGAGACTTGGAGTAGTGCAGCGGAAGTTGAGGCAGTTGAACCCTTGTACTAGTATGTGAGAACAAGTGATTGATTAAAGAAACAAGCATACAGCAATATATAGTAGATAAGAAAGCAGTTGTAGAATACAGTTACAGGAACGGTTTATCGAGTCGCACAGCGACTCGATTGCCGCTTCGGTTACCATCCGTGATGTTGTAACGGTCAGTCGCAACCTCCAGTTGCGACCTTTCGAGTCCTTTCGCATTCTTTGTCCGCCCCCTCGTGTAACCTCCGTTGACTCGCGTGCTCCCCTGTAATCTTCCTCGAGTACAGTGTTACACTTCAGAAACGCTTAAGTCCTTGAGATATTTCCAACAAGATCATTTTACAGCTTGGCTAACACGCATACCTTCACTCAAAATTACAAGACCACTAGCTATACAAAAAAACAATGTGCAAGGCTCATTTCTTAGCAGCTGGCTTAGCCTTCTTAGCCGCTGACTTCTTAGGAGAACCCTTGGCCTTTTTGGGCGTGGCTGCCTTGGGTGTGGCCGCCTTCTGAGAGGCTGCCTTTGGCTTTGCCGCACCAGTCGACTTCTTCTCTCCAACCTTTGTTTTAGGGGATTTCGCAGCAGGCTTCTTAGCTGCCGTAGGTTTGGCAGCCTTGGGTTTCGGCTTTGCTGCTGCCTTCTGCTTTGGCTTTGCCTCGGGTTTTGGCTTTGCTACTTTCACCGGAACTGCTTTGGCCTTTGCAGGCGCCGTAGGAGTCTTTTCCTTCTTCAGCTCCTCACCAAGCTTGAAGCTAGCCTTCACCTTCACAAGCTTACCAGTCTTGGTCAAGTTCTTCAATTGGACAGCAAGCGTCTTCTTCCAGTTGCTAGGAAGGTCCGGATACTGCTGCTCGATAAATTTGGATATCGCCTGTACGCTGGAACCATTTCTTTCCTTCAATGCCATTATGGCTTCCTTCACCATCTGCACAAGGCGGACCGAGGCGAGCATTGGACTCAAGATTTTCCCACGAAAAATAGGTACACAAAACAGCGTATACATACCTCAACGTATTTCGGGTGGTCGTGTTTAATCTTCTCCTTCGTAGCAGCTGGCTTCGCCGGCGATTTCGCCTTCATTGGCTTTGGTTTGGCAGCCTTAGGTTCAGGTGACTTGGCTTCGACTGCTGGCGAAGCGGCTGCCTTTGGCTCATCTGCTGCTGCCTTAGCAGGAGACTCAGCCATTGGGTAGAGACTATTTGAAATGGAAATGTTTTCTCCACCTTGAAATGCGTAAACAAATGCCAGGAACTCCGGCAACGGGCAAAATACAGAGGTCTGAAAAGTGTTTTCGTCCTTGACACCTCAGGCTGTCAAATGAGAAAATACGAGGGGCTAAGAGCAGTACATTTGCTCGAGTATGTCCCTTTGCGGAAATTACGCTAAAGAATGAAGTAGTAATGTTTGAAAGGCGACTTATGTGGGATGAAACCCACAACCAGCAGGAACAAGGAGGCTGTCAGAATGACCTTCAGCATCATTGGCGAAGTCTGCTGGAGAGCTTGCTCGAAGAAATCCAAATGTCACTTGCCTGGCCGTGCCCCAATGTGATTGGCTCAAATGAGCCCCCAAAGATCGACACAAGCCACTCCTCACTCCCCCCAGCCGAGGCTTCCATCCCGCAGCACACGGTTCATCTATCGACGGTCCATCTTCGTTTTGCTTGAGAATATGAAACTTCAACCCTTGTATTCAGGGCATGTCATGAGCATTCACTTTAGTACGATTGAGTAAGGTGCGGGGTGTTTTGAAAGAGGTTAGCTAAATCCCGAAAGAGGTTACGTAGGGTTTCGAGGAAAAAACGAACGCTTATGACCCTTAGGTCTCTGCTGAACTGATTATATATTCCTTCTTTCACTCATTAGGACGCTCTATATTGCGGCAGGTTCTCTTATCATTTTCCAATCTTTGCACTAAAGAAACCCGATAATACGACAGCAACAGTTGCCTCGAAATAGTCACGTAGCAGATCGGAAAGGAGTCACAGAATAACGCAATGAACTAGAATGAGTAATACATGGTGGTTTTTATCAGAATGAGAGTAGTGAATGATGACTAGTGAGAGAGTACAGAAAGATATACCTAAGAATTGTACCCTCTAAGAGGTGACCCTATACAGTCTATACAAACATAACGACTACACATGTTTGACACACCCCCTAGACTGCATAGGGGAATGTCCTAAACAAGCAGCTCAGGGCGGCACTACTAGTCCAACCTCTGAGACAAGGGTCTAAAAGACCAGTCAGAAGGAGTACAGACAAGGCAAGAACAAGGCCAGGGCGGCACTACTAGTCCAGCCACTGGAAGAGGACACAAGTCCAGTCTGAGTACACATATAAAGGACAGTACAAAGTCAAGGCCCTAGCAAGTGAGAGGCTACAGGAACTAGACCAAGCTGTACACAGTGCCGCTGATGATCTTTAGGCGCAAGCGCCTTCGTAAAGATATCAGTTGTGTTGGCACCTAAGGCCAAGTGTACTACGCGAGCCAGGCGTCGCTGCTGTAGCTCACGCAGGAGGAAGTACCGCAGCTGAATATGCTTTGCTCTGCCCTCGAGTCGAGGCTCCTGACACAGGAGGATCATGGCCCTGTTGTCAGCGAACAGGACCGGGGCAGAGCTAGGCCGCTCACCTAAGTCAGTGAGCAAGAAGGTCAGCCAGCGGAGCTCCTGTGCCGCCATGGCACCAGCGTAGATCTCGGCCTCACAGCTGGACTGAGCAACAGACGAGGAGCGGGTAGCTCTCCAAGAGACGGCACCTGAACCAAGGCTGAAGCAGTAGCCCTCGGAAGACCTGAGTGTCTCGGCGTCGTCTGCCCACGAAGAGTCTGTGTGTCCAGTAAGGACCACTGGCCTACGTCCTCCTAGCACTAACCCCATGCCCGATGTACTAGCAAGATAACGCAAAACCCTCTTAGCGGCAGACCAGTGCTGCGGTCGGTGTCTGCCTGTGGCCACAAAGCGAGCCAGGATGCTGAGAGGGTATGCGAGATCTGGGCGAGTGCAAGTCATCAGGTACATGAGGCAACCCACCAGCTCTGCGTAGGGGCCGCTGGGCTCTACCAACTCCTCAGACACTGGAGCGGAGAGTCTGTGGTCTACAGGCAGAGGGGTGGGCTGTGCAGAGGAGAACTGAAGGCTGAACCTCTAAAGGACCTGGCGCACCAAGTGTGACTGAGTCAGGGTGATGGTGCGCGCTGTTCTGTCCCTGGAGATCTGCAAGCCAAGGTAACGGCGCAGTTCTCCAAGGTCAGTGCACGTGTGTCTCTTCAGCAGCTCTGCCTTCACGGAGGCCAGTGCGTCCCTGTCTGCTGTGGCGAAGACCAGGTCGTCGACGTAAACAAGGATGTAGAACGGAGTCTGGCCAGCACGAACAAAGAGTGAGGGGTCTGCGGAAGACGGAAAGAACTGCAGGTCAGCAAGAGTGGCACGGAGAGTGTCGTGCCACTCACGGGGAGCCTGGCGCAGGCCGTAGACGGGGCGCCGCAGGAGCCACTGGGTCCCAGGAGGGAAGGTGCCAGTAAAGCCCTGAGGGCAACGCAAGTAGACCTGCTCGTGTAGGCTGCCCTGAAGGAAGGCAGTGGAGAAGTCGAGGGAGTGAAGCTCGTAGTCATGCTGAGCAGCTAGGTGTAACAGAACCCGAAGAGTAGTCATCTTCGGGGTCGGAGCGAAGGTCTGGAAGAAGTCCACCCCCTCACGCTGACTGAAGCCTCTAGCCACGTAGCGCGCCTTGAACACAGGCGGCTCTCCAGGAGGGCGCTTCACCTTGAAGAGCCAGCGGCCATCGACTACGTTCCCCCCAGGCGGGGGAACTGCGTCGACGAAGGTGCCGGTGGATCTCCAAGATGCCATCTCCTGCTCCATGGCAGCTATCCACTGAGAGGCCCAAGGTCCCGAGGTCGCCTCAGCGTAAGTGCGAGGGGTCGGGATGTCGAAAGCGTCTGGGTCACCCTCAGGGACTAGCAGCATGGAACAGAGATGGGGAGCAGCCTCGGAGAGGAAAGCAAGCTCGAACTGGCGGTCCTCCAGGACGTCACTGCCGAGGGCAGGAGCACCCCCGACAGACGGAGGACAGGCAAGGTCAGAGACCAGAGCTGTGGCGTAGTCAAGGCGGCGGGTAGAGGCGAAGTCAGCGACCGCAGCGACAAGAGCGTCAAGGCACGAGACCGGAACAGACGGGTCGGTAACGAGAGAGGCAAGGACCCGAGGAACAAGAGGACGAGCGGCACGAAGGTAGTCAGACAGCGGGGGGGGTGCAACAACAAGGGAGGACGGAGGAGGCGACGGCAGAAGGGGAGGACGAGACGCATGGGAACGAAGCAACATAAGGTGGGAGCGCAAGACAGGCGAGGCAGGACGAGCACGGGAGGGAGGGTGAGACCAGACGTGCGACAGAGGAGTCGGGTCAGGAGACAGGGGAGGGGACACAGGAGGGGAACGAGGGGGAAGACGGGCCGGGGACGAGTCCGGCGGAGGGAACACAGGGCCGTAGACGGGAAGAGGAACAGCCGCAGGGTCAGGGGACGGAAGGCCGAGCAGGCGAAGGGCTGACACCGGCGGGGACTGCTGCTGCGGCGGCACAACGGCGACACCGGGACTGCAAGCGGCTCCTGGGCTACCACCGGCACACTCCACACCAGCACCCCCAGAGGGACCACCCCCAGGGCGACCGGGACGAGCACCCCGAGAGGCAGCGAACGGGTGCTGCGACGGCGGTGGCGGCGGCGGCGGCGGCGGCAGCGACAATGACGGCTGCAGCGGCGGCAGAGGCGGTGGAGGAGGGGACTGGGGAGGGGACGCCGGGGGAGGGGCGGCCGGCGAGCACTGAACACCAGGGCCACCAGAGTCAGAAGACTCCTCAACCGGGCCCACCGACGGACGAGGGGTGACGTGGGACACACCAGAGGGGGCAGGACGGGGAGGAGGAGGAGGAGGGGCAGGGACTACCGGGGAAGGAGGGACCAGAAACAGGGGGGGGGTAACCGGGGGACCGCGGTGGGGGAAGCGACGGTAGTAGGAGGCGGACTCGTCAAAGGTGACGTCGCGAGAGTGAAAGAAGCGGTGAGACGGCGGGTGGTAAAAGTGCCAGTCGGACGCGTCAAGGGGAAAACCGAGGAAGACGCAGGGAAGGGTGCGGGCAGTGAGCTTGTCCGTGCCGGAGGCACGGACGTGAGCGAGGCAGCCCCGGACGTGGAACGCAGACGCGTCACCAGGAGACCCAGTCCAAAGACGGGTCGGCGAAACCTGCGGCTGCTGAGGGTGCGGCCACAAGTTAAGCTGGTGAGAAGCGTAGCGCACAACGAACGGCCACTGAAAATGGGGTGCACCGGCATGGATCATGGAGGTGCGAGCCACCTCCATGACCAAACCGATGCGTCGCTCAGCGACCCCATTCTGCTGTGGGGAGTCCGGTAGGGTGAACGTCTGGGTGATGCCCTCCGCACGACAAAAGCGACCAAGGACACCTGAGGCAAACTCGCCACCACGGTCGGAGTGAAGACGCAAGACAGGGAGACCGCGGTGGACACGCGCAGAGACAAGCCAGGGGATGAGAGCGCCAGGCACGTCGGCCTTGCGCTCCAGGGGAAAGACTGTGGTGTAGCGAGTGAAGTCGTCGACAAGCACAAGGAAGTAGCGCTCGCGACGCGGCCCAGGGACGGGGGCGGGGCCCCAGACGTCCAGGTGCAGGGTCTGCAGCGGCGCAGCGGTAGGGGGAAACGAGGAGGAGTGAGGGGCACGGCGAAGCCGACCCTCGAAACAAGGCGTGCAAGGTGGGGCTGGGGAGGAGGGAAACGCGGGGAGAGAACCTGGGAGACCAAGGACAAGACCGTGCTGGGACATGTGACGCAGTCGCGGGAGCGCAGGGTGACCTAGGCGGTGGTGCCAAAGGAGAGTCGGGTGAGTGAGGGACCGACAGGAGGAGGCAGCAGCAACCTGGGTAGACGCAACCACCTGAGGGGGCGCCCCGGCCGGGGGGGTCACGGTGTCCAGTGTGAACAGGCCGGACACCGGGTCCCGAGGGAACGTGGACAGGGGGGCACCAGTGGCGGCCTCGGTACAGACAGCATACCGCTCGTGACCAGGGAACGTAGTGGTGACGCCAAGGTCCTGGAGGCAGCCGACACCAACTAGGTTCCTGGAGAACGAGGGGATGTGCAGACCTGTAAGAGAGCCCGAAGGAACCGCCGGACAGGGAAGGGTGGTGGAACTGCGGGCGACTACCGGACCGCCGTAGGGGTCAGCAAGAGAAACAGCAGCAGGAACAGGAAGCGGCGTCAGCGTCGTGAAGTCGCGGAAGAAGCACCGGGAAGCGCCAGAGTCCAAGGTGAAGGAAAGCGAAGCAGTGGCGCCTGGCGATGGAACGACGGCGGAAGCACCA